TCTACATGCTACTTTCCCTGTTCCATTTGTACTTCTCTGCTGAACAGCTTCTCTACACTACTATTCCATTCCATGTCCCCTGGAGCTCACCTGGGTTCCCAGCTACACTTCCTTCCTTGACTCAGTTTGTCGAGTCAGTTTGTTGAGTCAATTCTGTTTTTACATTACTTGGAGAGAGTATCTATTGGCTCTGCTTGAGCCAGGTATTCATTCTTGATTCCATCTCTAGTGAACAGGGAGTGCAGTCACCTGGAGACTGGGGCTGCCCCTTCCAGGGCTATGGGCAGAACAGACTCCATGAAGGAAGCATCGTAGTGCAACAACCACTCAGCTAGGATGCTGTAAAGGAGATTCAGGCTTCAAGAGGTTTCATGACCTCTACTCTTAGGAAAGCTCCTTCATTTCTGTTGTAATAACAAAAACAACTAGTATTTATTGAGCTTCTACCATGTGTTAGATGTCCTCCTAAGCAGTTCACATGCACTGATTTAACTTATTTGATGCCTGTAAAAATATTTAAGATGGAAAGTAGTGGGGAGGGGAAGACAACAAAAAACGATGATCACCAGGGTGTTGCTATAGATAGGAAGTTTGTAATCCCCCAAAATTCCTATGTTGAATCCTAATGTGATGATATTTGGAGGTGGAGACATTGGCAGATGATTAGGACATGAAGGTGAGGCTCTCATGAATGGGATTAGTGTTCTTATAAAAAAGATCTTGGAGAGCTCCCTAATCCCTCCCACCAGGTGAAGACTCGGTGAGAAGACTGTGGTCTATGAACCAGGAAGTGGCCCTCTCCAGACATCAGTGTCTGTCAGCACCATAATCGTGAACTTCCCAGCCTCTAGAATTGTGCAGAATAAATTTCTGTTTTTTATAAGCCTCGCAGTCTGTGGTATTCTGTTACAGCAGCCCAGCCAAGATGTGTCATCTTATTCCAACATTCTATAAACTGACCTACAAAGTCCAAATCTCAATTTGATCCACTCTTACTCTTAATGATCTGTCTTACAAAAGAGAAACACATCTTCATCTTTCCAGACCACAGTCCTGACATTTTCATCCTCACATAAAAATTATTCTATCCATTGGTAAGATTTTGATGTTTCGGCTTTTGAAACAAAGATAGTTTACTTCTGAAAAAAAAAAACTGAAAGAACTACAAGAAGATAAATTATAATGCACAATGCAATAAAACTTGGTTTTTAAAATAGCCTTATTAACATATAATTGAATAGAACAAACTATACTCAGTTAAAATGCACGATTTTATGAGTTTTGATCTATGTATTCATCAGTGAAACCATCACCACAATCAAGATAATGAACCCGTCACCTGCAAAACTTTACATGTGCTTCTCTGTAATCCCTTCCCTTCCTACTCAACTCATGCCTCTTATATCACAAGGTTTCCCCACTCTGGCTGTTGGGAACATGAGCTATTGCCTGGCCAGCATAAGCTCAGTTTTTCTGCCGGCTTTTTTGCTAGTGGCTGCCCCTCTGTCTTGGGAAGTTTCCACACATGCATGTACCTGTTCAAACTTCAGCTGAAGACCCAGGGGAACCCTGCACAGATCTCCAGGGCACCCTCCTTCCATTGTACTCTCTCCTCTCTAGTACTGTAGGACCCTTGCCTCCCTGAATCCTCAGCTCTATTTTCCAACTCACAGAGACTGCTGGGCCTTTGGGTTCCCGTCTGCACTGCAGCTTGGTGCAGCATTCGTGCCAAAGGCTTGAGACAGTTAGTGTGACTTGCCCCATTTTGGCTGCTGGACCTATCTGCTCTCCCCCCACTCTCGAGGACTGTTGAGTTGAGGCAAAGGTCGCAGGCTGAGCCACTGAGGCAAAAACAAGATACAGAGCAAGGGCCTGCGGTCTACGAGGGCATTGTGCTGTCTGCTTTCATATCCCCTTTAATCTCTGTGTAAGCAATGGACTTGCTGCAATTGAGGTGCCTGAGAGGGGCAGGGACCCCTGCCCATATTTTCTCAGGAGCTGAGCCTTTGTTCTACCTCCTGATGGAAAACATAACAAGCCACCATGAGGACACCATTGTTTGCTTGCACTGTGTACTCTTAAAAAACATATATTAACCTTTAAACTGCTTTGTAAGCTATTATCACAAGCCCCTGATAACTATTTTTACGTGGTTTCTGTTCCCTTTTCTGTTTACCCCTTTTCTGCTGAGCTAAAGTAAATGTAACAAGAAAAAAGGTATAAAAGCTGTAACCCACAAAAATAAAGCTGCTGTCATCTGACTATGAGTCACGCAGACCTCCAGACCTCGCTGTTCTTTCTTCTTTCACTTCCACGCACTCTCTCCCTCAGGTTGAACGAGACATCTACATTGGCGGTCTCGGGGACTCCCACAGGTCGGCAGCCCCCCGGCAGACGTGCTGGACCCCAACAGCTTGGAAACCCTCTCCAGGCAGTAAGCTGGAGCAAGCGACATGTTGCTTTTTTCATCTCCCTTCTCATGGGCCCTGTATTGCCTGTTTCCCAATGTCTGAAAACCATTGTTTCATACGTTCTTTCTCATATTTTTCATTTCAGGTTACAGAGTAAGTCCAGTCCCTGTTGCTCCCTCTTGGTTGGAGCAGATGTCAACACTTATTTTTAAAAGATAAAAAATCATTTACAAGCTCATTGTAAAAAAAAAAAAAAATCAACAGATGTAAAGTCTTATAAAGTATAAAAGTAAATATTTCCCCTTCAGTACTTGCAATTCACAGCCCAGAAATAACCACTGCTCATGGTAAACACAACATTAAATAATTTCCACTTCTCCCAAAAAGAACTATTGTGAAGTTGCAGATGCAGGAATATCTTTGGTGGTGCTGGAAGGATTTAGAAATGAATGTCCATGGCTGGGTGCGGTGGCTCACACCTGTAATCCCAGCACTTTGGGAGGCCAAGGCGGGCAGATCACAAGGTCAGGAGTTCAAGACCAGCCTAACCAACATGGTGAAACCCCATCTCTACTAAAAATACAAAAATTAGCTGGGTGTGGTGGCAGGCATCTGCAATCCCAGCTACTCAGGAGGCTGAGGCAAGAGAATCGCTTGAACCTGGGAAGCGGAGGTTGCAGTGAGCCAGGATCAGGCCACTGCACTCTAACCTGGGTGACAGAGCAAGACTCTCTCTCAAAAAAAAAAAAAAAAGAAAAGAAAAATAAAACAAAACAAGAGAAATGCTGTCCTCTTCCCTGTCCACCCCATGACCATGGAGCGTGTGAACTAGGGCTCACTCTATACTGACTTCTCTTTCACTGTTCCCAAGGCAGGAGTGAGTTGGTCAAGTCTCTGTGAAGGCCACATAAAATCATCTATGTGAAAGTGGCAAACTTTGAAATCATATGTAATTGTTAGTTAATATACATATTATCATGTTATTTTTTATATCAATAACTTATATAACAACTAGTCCTTGAAGAGTTTGATGATAACTCAGTCACCATTTTCATCACTAGTGAAAGTTTCTCCTCATAACAATCCTGATCAAGGTCTCCAAGGCCTATGGCAAAAAATAAAAATAATTAATAAAAAGCATTATGTTGGTTCACAGTCATCTTAAAGTGATAACAGCTGTGTGAGATAGTACCCCATATGTGGAAGAATCTCCAGGCTGAAGTGGTACAGTCCAGACATAACCTTTAGAGCTAAGAGGCCATTTCTCTCAATCTCAAAATTCACTCAAATATACCTCTGCAGAAACTTTATAATTTCTCCCTTTCATGGAATGGCAAATAACCTTGAGCTTTTTTTTCTTTTTCTTTCTTTTCTATTTCTACCTTTTAATTTTACCTCCTACTCTGGTCCAGACCTGCAAGCAATAGGTTCCTCAGTGTGAGCTCAGGAAGTAATAAAAACAGAGCAGAGACTGATATTTTCCCATCCAATTATTCATCCTTCCCCTCCTAAAAAATACAGACACTTAACAATGTTCAATTTACAATGTGCAGCATCCTGGCAAAAATTTCCACACATGCTAAAAAGCAAGAAAATGTGATCCATAATCAGAGGGAAAATGAATCAACAGAAACTGATTTAGAAATAAACACAACGCAGACGCTGGTCACAGAAGTCTAAAACTCTAAGGTGAAGCCCCCAGTAGGTTGGACATTTTCTTATTCCTTATGTCATTTAAACACAACTCCCAAGATCTCCGTCACAGGCTGTAGAAATTACTCACCAGGTCCCCATGTGGGCTATGTTCAGATTTTTAGTTATATTTGTAGAAATCTGAGTGAATGTGACGACCGCTTTATATGGGTTTTATTTATTTTTTATTTTTTTTGAGACGGAGTTTCGCTCTTGTTACCCAGGCTGGAGTGCAATGGCGCAATCTTGGCTCACCGCAACCTCCGCCTCCTGGGTTCAGGCAATTCTCCTGCCTCAGCCTCCCGAGCAGCTGGGATTACAGGCACGCACCACCGTGCCCAGCTAATTTTTTGTAATTTTAGTAGAGACGGGGTTTCACCATGTTGACCAAGATGGTCTCGATCTGTTGACCTCGTGATCCACCCGCCTCGGCCTCCCAAGTGCTGGGATTACAGGCTTGAGCCACCACGCCCGGCCGGGTTTTATTTTTATCTTTAAAGACAGGGTCTTGTTCTGTCCCCCAGGCTGGAGTGCAGTGGTGTGATCACAGCTCATTGCAGTCTCTAACTCCTGGGCTCAAGCGACCCTCTCGACTCAGCCTCAGGACTTACAGGCGAGCACCACCTTACCAGGCTTGATTTTTGTGTTTTTAAACAGACTGAACGAACAACCTTCAGAATTTCCCATCCCCACCCGACACAGCCCCGACTCCACCACCCCTAACCCTGCCCCACTTCGTACTACCGAAGCACGTCTTGAGAATCCGATGCGTAAGGAAAGAGTCAGGGATGCGGGAGGCGAAGGGCTGTTGACGCTGTAGGGTGGTCCTACGTGCGCGTGCCCCCTCTCTGGAGTAGTCCCTGGGGTCACAAGGATTTGAAGAGAGGCCCTCCCCTCCCACTGCCCCGATTCCCCCTAGTGCCAGGCACCCGTTGGGCAGGCGCCCTGAGCAGGTCTCGTAGGTTGCTAAAGCATGCTGGGTCCAGCCAGGACAGGGTTCCTGTCTGGGCTGCGGCGCGGGAGCAGAGCTGTACCGACGCTGCAATCCCAGGAACTCGCTCTCCCGGCCCGGTAGGAGACCGCGCCAAACGCGCCGGGATGGCTGCCGGGCCGCACGGAGGGGCGGGGCTCACCAAGGCTCCACCCAGCAGCCTCTGTTCGCACGCCGGGTGCTGATCCGCGCCGAGACCGACTCGCCACCACCCAGAGCGCCGCGGGCCGGGGTGGAGAGGCGCAAGGCGCCGGATAGCCTCGGGCGAGGGCCGGTGCTGGCCGGCTATGCCTCCTGCCGCTGCGGTTCAGGCCGGCGCCCGAGCGCCCGCGGCCTCGAAGGAGCTGCTGGGTTCCGGGGGTGCTGCGCTGTGAGGCCCGGGCCTAGAGCCCGCCGCGGCCGCTGAAGAGCGGCCCAGGAACCGCGCTCGCCGGCGCTCGCGCCCCCGCCTTCCTCCCGCGCCGGCCCCGCCTCGGCTCGCTGCCCTCGGCTGCCGGCCGCCATGGCCTCCGCCGCCAGGGAGAGCGCGGGATCGGTGCTCCGGCGACTGTCGCGTCACCGGGTGCTGCGCGGGCTGCTGCTGCTCTGCCTGTGGCTGCCGAGCGGCCGCGCTACCGGGCCGCCCGCGGCGCCGCTGTCGGAGCTGCACGCGCAGCTGTCGGGCGTGGAGCAGCTGTTGGAGGAGTTCCGCCGACAGCTGCAGCAGGAGCGGCCGCAGGAGGAGCTGGAGCTGGAGCTGCGCGCGGGCGGCGGCCCGCAGGAGGACTGCCCGGGCCCGGGCGGCGGCGGCTACAGCGCCTTGCCGGACGCCATCATCCGCACCAAGGACTCCCTGGCGGCGGGCGCCAGCTTCCTGCGGGCGCCGGCGGCCGTGCGGGGTTGGCGGCAGTGCGTGGCGGCCTGCTGCTCCGAGCCAGGCTGCTCAGTGGCTGTCGTGGAGCTGCCCCGGCGGCCCGCGCCCCCGGCCGCGGCGCTCGGCTGCTACCTCTTCAACTGCACGGCACATGGCCGCAGCGTCTGCAAGTTCGCGCTGCACCGCGGCTACAGCAGCTACAGCCTCAGCCGCGCCACGGACGGCGCCGCCCCGGCTACCGCGCGCGCCTCGCCCCGGCAGGGTAAGCACGCGACTGAGGGGCGGGCCGAGGCCAGAGCGCTGGGTCCCGCAGCGCCCTCGCCAAGTTGGAAGAGAAACACACACACTCGAGCCAAGTTATTTTAGCCGCGGGCTCCCAGAGGAGTTTCTGGCATGAGTCTTAGGGAAGAGGAAGCCCAGTCGATTGGCAGAAGCGGGCCAGCGCGGTGGAGAATATTCTAGGCTTGAGGAGGTAGGCTGGTCTGAGAGGATTCGTGGAAATTTGATTTAAAGGAGGAGAAAAGTTCAGAGAAACAAGTTTATTTTAGTCTCATGGGTTGTATAAGGCATGGTTTGTGTTAAGTAATTACAAGAGCAAAATCTAATTAGATGCTGAGCCGCTCATAACACCCACCCCTGTTTCTTAACGTGGCTCTCTTGGCTCTGCCTGTGTTGGCTTTCATCAGACAAAAATGGGAAGGAAAACTACTGCTCCCTTTTATATAAAAAGTGAAAAGAAGGGACTTGATTTTCTTTGAAAATAGGAAATTTTAAAGCGTGATTCTTAAGGGCTAAAAATGATGCTGACTCGACGGTTTTGCTTTTTGTAGATGCTCTGAATGAGAGAATCAGGACACACACAGGAGGCACAGAAATGGTAGCAGTTGCACAAGAGGGTCCAGGAGGGAATAATAGACTGTGATTTCGCCCACGTGTGGTCAGGCTCCTTGTATTTAATCACGCTCTGTTGCTGTTTGATTTATAATAGCATGAATGATAATCAGCAAGATGGGGGCAAAGCTCAGCCACTTTGGAAGTATGGATTCTCCAAAACCTGTGGATCCATTAAAAGGGTCTGGAAATCTGTGTCACATCTTGCCTCTCTCCCCACCTCTACTTTAGATGAGGCTCAGAACCCTTGTCAGGGGAGCAGATATCAAAGGGTCACCCTGCGACTGCTCAGTCTTGAGGCAGACATCAGGAAGGACCCCGTGGCTTTCCCTCTGAAGTGGGAGCAGGCAGCACTTTCACTTGGACCCCCACCAACATCGCTGAGGCCTGTCAAGGCTGCTCCACACACATCCTTCCTCTTTGCCCAAATACAGACCTCAATATCCCAGCAGTAAAGAAATAAAGTCTCCATGTTCTCACTGCTCACCTGGAAGAAATTGACATTGCCAAGGGAGCTTTTCTATAAACCCAGAGGAAACCTTTTAAAAGGAAAAAAAAACAAAAGAATAAGCCTTAGAAAAAATTGTTTAAAGTTTAGATTACTGTGAAAGACTGGGCATGGTGACTCATAACTGAGTCACCCAGAACTTTGGGAGGCCGCGACCAGTGAATCATTTGAGGCCAGGAGTTGAGACCAGCCTGGCCAACATGGCAAAACTCTGTCTACTAAAATAAATAAATAAACAAAAATTAGCTCAGTGTTGTAGTACGTGCTTGTGATGCCAGCTGCTCAGGAGACTGAGTCAGGAGAATTGCTTGACCCCGGGAAGTGGAAGTTGCAGTGAATACACATTGTGCTACTATACTCCAGCCTGGGCAGCAGAGGGAGAATGTCTCAGAAGCAAAAACAAATAAACTTTAGATTACTATGAGAAGTTTCTGGATTGTTTTTCCTCTTGCTTCCTTTGTTGCCCTTCCTTTCCCTAGGGAGAGTTGGTCTAGGAATTGTGGTTTTTTGTTTTTTTTTTTTTTTGAGATGATTCCCTCTTGTTACCCAGGCTGGAGTGCAATGGCGCAATCTCGGCTCACCGCAACCTCCGCCTCCTGGGTTCAAGCAATTCTCCTGCCTCAGCCTCCCGAGTAGCTGGGACTACAGGCGGGCACCACCATGCCCAGCTAATTTTTGTATTTTTAGGAGAGACGGGGTTTCCACCTTGTTGACCAGGATGGTCTCCATCTCTTGACCTCATGATCCACCCGCCTCCGACTCCCAAAGTGCTGGAATTATAGGCGTGAGCCACCGCGCCTGGCCTGGAATTGTTTTATAGATGTTTGGGGATCAGAATAGGCAAGCACTTTGGGTCCTCATTTCTGGGAGAACACTGCTGTGCTCAGACTTCCTGAGGTCCCAGCAACACGGAAACATGGTAGTTGTGGCTCAGGCTCCTGTAGAGGCTCCCTTGTTCTCTCTGCGTGGAAGTGAAAAATGTTTCTCCAGTGTCCTATGAGTCCCCTGCCCAGATGCTTGACAAGTTGAGTTGTTTATGCTTCTGAGACTAAGTTTTTCCTTCTTGAATTGTTCCTTTTTGGGGAAATGTGAGCATGTGCAAATGGCTTAGAAGAGTCCTTGGAGAGAAGCTGTGGCTGGGTCCATCGGAGGTAGATAACAGCACCATGAAGAAATGGTGATGGGATGGCACGTATTTACAACAGGACACACCCGCCCTGTTTCATGCCTGTATTTGTTGACTTTGGTATTAGGTGCTGCCCTAAGCCCTTTCCACGCATGAACTCACTCTGTCCTCACAACCACACAAAGACCTAGGTTCTGTTATAATCCCCCGTGTATACAAAGGCTTGGAAGCAAAAATAACCTGCCTGAGGGTCACACAGCATGGGGGTTGTGGAGCCTGAAGTCCTGTGCTTTCCCCACCAGCACCAGCAGAAGCTGAGAAAGGGACCACTGGGCTGGGACTGTGAGGGTAGAGTTAGGGAAGGTGGGAGGATGTGGGAACGAGTGGGAGATGCTGGAGAGAGGTGTCTTGCAGTGACTGAGGCTGCCTGCTAGAGTCTGTAGAGCAGAGGCAGGTACTTGAAGTTCTGGGGCCTGGTGTCTCTACTAACAAGTCCCTGCTCATCCCCTTGGGACATGGTTTCTGCTTGTCCTCCAGCTCGAGGCCACGAGTTAGAAACCAGCCTGACAACATGGCGAAACTCCATCTGTACCAAAATAGAAAAATTAGCCAGTTGTGTTGTCACACGCCTATAGTCCCAGCTACTGGGGAGGCTGAGACATGAAAATTGCTTAAACCCTGGAGGTGGAGCTCACAGTAAACTGAGATTACACCACTGGACTGCAGCCTGGGTGACAGAGGGAGACTCTGTCCAAAAAAAAAAAAAAAAAAGAGCTTATGAGTCAGCTAGAAAAATAAAATCGATGGGCAAAGGACATGAGCAAACCGTTCCCAGAAGAGGAGGAATAGTGGATAAACGTGGGAAAATGTTCTACCTTAGAATCAAAGAAATGTAAATAAGGCCAGCTTTCATTTATTAACTTGGCAAAAATAGATTTGCTCATACTGGCATGCCTATGGGAAATTTTATATATACTTCTATGCCCACTAATGGTGTAAATTGGTACTACCCTCTTGGAAACCAATTGGGAAATATGTGGCAGAGACCATTAAAATATTCATTCATACTTCTGGAATATTTTTTAGGGAAATGGTCCATACTGAAGAGAACATATGAGCAAAAAATCATTTATTATGGCATTATTTATAATGGTGAAAAAAACAGTAACAAAGTGAATGTCCAGTTGTGGAAATTAGGAAATTCAAGTGGCAGTTGTGAATTTATGTAATCGCATGCTCAGTGCTAAGATACATGAAGAAGCATCAATAAGAAGAATATATTGATAAGTTAATTGATTAAATTCAGGATGTAAAATTATATTTATTGTAACTGTAATACACCCAGGGTTGTCTCGAAGTATAGTGGAAGGACAGAACCTTTGAGTTAGAAATATCTGGGCTGACAAATTTATCGCCTGTGTGATGTAATAGCCTCTTAGCCTAGTTTCTGTATCAGTATTATACAGATCATAATACCTACCTCAGAGATTCGTTGTGAGCTATAACTTCACCTGGCATGCTACCTGGTACAAGGAAATTGTAACTGCCCAGTCGGTTCTCCTTTCCCACTGGCTACACAGAGCCAATTTATCAAGACAGGAATTGTAATAGACAAAGAGTTTAATTTACAAAGAGCTGGTTGTATAGGTAAACCACAAGACCAGATGAACCACTTTATCCATCTGGGTACTGCGAACTGGGTGCTGCCAACCATCACGGACAGGGTCTATACAATACCTCAAGCTCTGACCTTAGGTTTTACAATAGTGATTCCTAAAACATAATTTCTAATCTTGTAACTAATTTGTTAGTCTTGTAAAGGCAGTCTAGTGCCCAGGCAAGAAAGGGATCTGTTTGGGGAAAGAGGTGTTATCATCTTTGTTTCTTTTTTCTTTTCTCTTCATTTTTTTTGAGACAGGGACTCACTTTGTTACCCAGGCAGGAGCACAGTGGCACAGTCTTGGTTTACTGTAGCCTTGAATTCCTCAGCCCTTCAAGTAACTGGGACTATAGGCATGCGCCACCACACCCGGCTACTTTTTGTGTTTTTAGTAGAGATGGTGTTTTGCCATGTTGCCTAGGCTGGTCTGGAACTCCCAGACTCAAGCAATCTACCCACTTCAGCCTCCCAAAGTGCTGAGATTATGAGCATAAACCACCACACCCAGCCCTGTCTTTGTTTCAAAGTCAAACTGTAAACCAAGTTCTACCCAAAGTTAGTTCGGCCTATGCCCAGGAATGGACAAGGACAGGTTGGGGGTTAGATGCAAAATGGAGTCAGGTCAGATCTCTTTCACTGTTAAAATCTTCTCAGCTATAATTTTTGCAAAGGCAGTTTCAAAATCACCCAGTAAATGGCAACTATTATAATTATTATAAGCAGCATCATAGGGAGAAGGACTAGATCAGTACATAACAAAAATCACAATAATCACATTGGGGCTGTGGATAATTTTTTTTCTAAAGTGTTGCAGTTGGAAATCCATAATGGATTTTGACCCCATGTATCTGAGCCTCTTCCCTTAGTCTGGCCCCACTTCTGTACCCTGACTTTAGGGTTCTTTCCAGTTGCTCTGCTTAAGCTATGCCATTCATTCCCACACAACACAGAACATCTTCCTTGTCACAGAGGCTCTGTGCACAGTAGTGTGTTGAGAATGAGCCTGGTTAATATTATATTACACCTCTCTGAATAAAATGTCACCTTGGTATGCTCTCTAAATTGGTAGGGGTCTTATTTCACCTCTGTAGGTCTTACTAAGGGTGTTTAGTTTTCAAAAGAAATCTGTTTCCCTAGTACTTAACATGGGTTTATTACATTTTTTTTTTTGACAAAAATTCAAAATGACATTTACCTGTTCTTCATTAGCAAGTCACATGTTTTAAAATGGTGGCATACTCCTTTCCTCTTCCTGTGGTTGTTTGTTTATTTTAAGGGCTGTTTCTGGGTAGATAAGCTCTGGCTTATTTTTAAATACATTTTCCAATGTAATTGACCTGGACTTGAACTGAAAAGGAAACATTATCTGTGTTATTTCAGATGCATCAATGATCAATTTAGAAGACAGGATGATTTCACTAGACTTATGAATCATCTTGAAGCTCACCTAAATAAAAGTAAATGACTAAAATAATCTTTTTCTTCCAGGAGAGGTAGGATTCGTTTTATAAAGTTAGGAATAGTTCAGCACTTACATGATTCTTCCATCTTAAATCTTTGAGCGTTTAAAAAATTATTATATGTCCATTACTGTTTATATCACATAGGCATATTTTCATTTGCCTATTTAAAATCGTATTTTTAAACAAAGTTTAAACTAAATAGCTGCTGGCTCTAATGTATAACTGCTGAGTTATAAGATGCTTTCCAGAATTATAAAGTCATAAACCATTGTGTGGAAACAATGAACCTTTCAGAACCAAAGAAAAGATCAACACTATGAAAGGGCTATCAAAGTAATGCAAATATCCTCTTTTTCCTTACCTGGGAGAAGCAGAATAAAGACATCATACAACCTGTCCTTGCTCAGAGGTGGAAAAAGGCAGAAGAACAAGTTTTTTCCTAGGCAGGGGGTTGTTTACTTGGCTTATTTAAATCACAGTTACTAGTCCTCATTCTTAAGTGAGGACATGTATTCTCACTTAAATGGGACACGTATTCTCCATAGTTAGTGTACCCTTGGCAATAGCATGTAATAAGCAATTGTGCTTGATTCTTTGCAATGTGCCTAAAAGAAAACGGTATCTTCCCTTTGTGGCTGGCAGCAGCATTCTTATTCAGAAAACCCCCATTTCTATGAGCCCCAGGCCCTCACATAATTCCCCTTGTTCCCAGATGAACAACGTCCGGCTTCTTGTTCTCCCGGTCCAATAACAATCTGGGAAAAGAAGGGAGTTTATTTCTGTAACTGGTGACAGAGAGATGATCAGAGTCACTCACCAGACCAACTCAAAGTTACAGGTTTTTCTTCAATGCTTATTTACATATCTGTTCAGCAAACAAGATACTTCTCTTCATAAATTAGAAAAAATAAGAAATCATCTCTTATGAATTACTTATTTTCTTTCTTAGAAAAGGATGCACCTCCACTTAGCAAGGCTGGGCAGGATGTGGTTCTGCATCTGCCCGCAGACGGGGTGGTTCTAGACGGCCGTGAGAGCACAGATGACCACGCCATCATCCAGTATGAGTGGGCGCTGCTGCAGGGGAACCCGTCAGTGGACATGAAGGTAACACATGTTGTCATTGCTAACAAAAATGGGTATTTCAGTGAAGTGGTCTTTCGTAATGTCCTGCCACTTCATGTTCCCTAAATGTCTGTATGCTAGCAGTAGAAGGTATAAAATGGAGAATGTATAAAACTGATTGCGCTAAAATGGTTTATGATCTCAATGTGCTTTTCTGCTGAGTGAGCAGTGATCTCGATCATTTGTCTGGGAGCTTACCCTCTTTGCTGCTGTCTGTGACTTCTCTAGAGGACAAAGACGCTTCAAGGAAAAGGACTCTGACTCAGATTACTTTTTTAAAGTTTTATTTCTTTTTCTTAGCTCAAGGTCCAGGAAGAAAATTTGAAAGTTACAAAGGAATCTAAAGAGGACAATAACAATAAGATGAACTTATCCTTCACATGAGCCAGAAAGTAAACAGCTTACCTGGCAGCTAGGCCTGCTGGGCTTACCAGGCCTGTGAGGAAGGGAGGCTGGCATGGGGATCCTGGGATTGTGGCCAATGAAATCAGCCATGTGCTCCCTGGCTGCCTATGCTCAGGAAGTCTTGAGTGGTGAGACAAGTGGTTTTTTATTCACCCTGTCAGGACCCATTCTAGTTAGGAGCATTTCCTGGCTTAGGCAGATGAATTGCATCCAAACCACCTCAGTTATAGGAAGTGGAGAAAGAGGGTGAGGTAAGGAGGCACTGATTTATACTCTGCTGGAAACAGAAACACATCAGGGAGACAACTAATTTAAGTAACGGTGATTTTACTCCCCGATTATATCGCGTTAGAATTAGACTCACCCTTGTCCAGTGATATGGTTTGCCTTTGTCCCCACCTAAAGTCTTATCTTGAATTATAATCCCTATAGTCCCCACATGTCAAGGGAGAGACTAGGTGGAGGTTATTGAATCATGGAGGCAGTTTCCCCCATGCTGTTCTCATGATAGTGAGTGAGTTCTCAGGAGATCTGCTGGTTTTATAAGTGTTTGGTAGTTTCTCCTGTGTTCATTCTCCCTTCTGCCGCCTTGTGAAGGAGGTGCCTTGCATCTTCTTTGCCTTCTGCAGTGATTGTACTAATAAGGTTCCTGAGGCCTCCCCAGCCATGCAGAACTGTGAGTCAATTAAACCTCTTTCCTTTGTAAATTATCCAGTCTCAGGCAGTTCTTTATAGCACTATGAGAGTGGACTAATACATCCAGCATCCTTCCCAGCCTCTCCTCCAAACAAGAGCCCCTTCCACAACATCCCTTCCAGGGCTCACCAGCCATCTGCGTGACTTTTCCAAGGGCAGAAGCTCACTGCTTCACGTCACGTTCGTGATATTGCTCATCACTGGATTTGGCAAGCAGGCTGTGCCTCCTCTTCCTTCTGTGCATTGGTTCTGGGTCTTCCTTCTGGAAAAACACTGAACTCATATTTTTATCCTGTGTAAAAGCTCTGAAAGTCTTTGAAAAAAAAGAACATCAGCACTTGGTAAGCTCCTCTCAGAGCTCAGCACCTCACAATTTGTCAGATGTACCTCGTTTGAATTGATTTAGAGGCCCACAACCATCCTGCCTTGTCCAGATTTTATCATATTAATCCATACCCCCTTCTTAACATCTGACACCCTTAATTGAACCCCATATTTAAGCTTTGGTTTCCTGACTCATCCATTACCTCCTGTGATTCAGATTGCCTCTGCCTCTGTTAATGAGCTTAATTACATGAACCGTGTTAGTAGCTGCATCACACCATAGGTTCATGCTGAAATTTTTGCCTGCAGGATTGCCTACACCTTGCTCCATCTTTCTATATGAATTGTCATCGTGGCCTCTTCTATTGCATTAGTCTGTTATTGAACTGCTGTAAAGAAATACCTGAGACTGGGTAATTTCTAATGAAAAGAGGTTTAATTGGCTCACGGTTCTGTAGGCTGTACAGGAAGCATGGTGGCATCTGATGCTGGGGAGGCCTCAGGGAGCTTTTACTTATGGCAGAAGGAAAAGCGGGAACAGGCATGTTACATGGCCGGAGCAGGAGGAAGAAGGGGATGCTATATACTTTTAAATGACCAGATCTCATGAGAACTCACTTACTGTCATGACACAGTACCAAAGGGGAAATCCACCCCCATTATCCAGTTAGCTGCCATCAAGCCCCACCTCCAACATTAGGGATTACAATTTGACATGAGATTTGGGTGGGGACACAGATCCAAACCATATCACCTGTCCCGTATTTGTGAAATTTATTTGTTTAACCTAAGTACAGGACCATCTATTGATCCTCTTACATCTCAGCATTTTTGTTTTCATCTATAGCAGAAATAATTTTGAACTTTGAGAGTCATGATCATATTTATCATAATTTTATGCTTTGTGTCAGCTGCAAAATTGATTAATATATCTCAATTGAAATGAGAATTGGCCAGACGCGGTGGCTCATACCTGTAATCCCAGCACTTTGGGAGGCCAAGGAGAGTGGATAATTTTTTTTTTTTTTTTTTAATTGAGACGGAGTTTCACTCTTGTTACCCAGGCTGGAGTGCAATGGCGCGATCTCGGCTCACCACAACCTCCGCCTTCTGGGTTCAGGCAATTCTCCTGCCTCAGCCTCCTGAGTAGCTGAGATTACAGGCACGTGCTACCGTGCCCAGCTAATTTTTTGTATTTTGAGTAGAGACGGGGTTTCGCCTTGGTGACCAGGATGGTCTCAATCTCTTGACCTCATGATCCACCTGCCTCATTTGAGGTCAGGAGTTCAAGACCAGCCTGGCCACCATGGTGAAACCCCATCTTTACTAAAAAATACAAAAAATTAGCTGGGCATGGTGGTGCATACCTGTAATCCCAGTTTCTTGGGAGGCTGAGACAGGAGAATCTCTTGAACCTGGGAGGTGGAGATTGCAGTGAGCCGAGATCATGCCATAGCACTCCAGCCTGGGTGACAGAGTCAAACTTAGTCTCAAAAAAAAAAAAAATAGAAATAAAGAAATGTTGAGAATTAAGGTTAATCAGGAAAAGTACATGAGCAAGCTGCTGGTCATACCACTGGAGAGCTTTCTTGGGATGGACACTGACTGTTGATTGGCACCTCTGAGAGATCAGTGTTCAGGCAGCTACAAATTTGCCTCTGTTATGCAGTTTTTCATACTTGCTGCTAAAAGCTTTATTCTGTAAGTAATAAATTATATATGAGTGCTGAATAAAAATAATGCTGATGATTCAGTATTTAATTTCTTGAAGAAATTTTTAAAGGAGTGACAAAATTAGATATTTGTCTTCCCAACAAAATACTAGCAAATCAAATCCAGTATCACATTCAAGATCATTTACTGTAATCAAGTGGGATTTATCACAGGGATGTAAGGATGGTTCAATATATGCAAATCAGTAAATACAATATATAGCAGCAACAGAATGAAGGACGAAAACCTTATGATCACTTCAATAGACACAGAAAGAACAATCAATAAAATTAGGTACTTCTCGTTAGGACTGACTGCTGTGCCATCGAGAGGAAACTCTGGACCAGTTCCCCAGTCAGGTGTATAACAGCGATGGCTGGTAGACCTCAGGTTATGAAACCGTCATCTAAGTGACAGAGCCTTCACTAGGGGAAACACCTGTTACTAATTTGTGACTGTCTTTGAATTGTATACATTCATGAATGTCCCCCAGAGTTATCACTCATCCTGCTGAGACTTCATCATAATCAAAGCCTCCATGGATTGAGCACCCGCTGAGTGCCAGGCAGGTTAAAGAGATCTGTAATCCACTGGACACCCTCACTTGCAGGCTCATCCCCATTTGGTAGATTAAGACTGTCAGGAAAAATTGTGAAAGACTTTGAGGTGGTCAAAAGATTACTAAGTACCTTTCAGTGGAACGCTGGGGTTTGTTAGTGGATTCTTCAGGGTTAATATCTATAAGTTGTTGAAAACCCATAGTAACCAAATGATTCTTATCCATAGAAATGTAAACAAATTTTTTGGTATATAGAGGTAATTGACTTTTACCCTGGAGAAAATAAGATTTCAAATATGACATTTTATTACACATAGATACGAACTAATCTATTTTTTAAAATATATATTTTATTGCACTTTAGATTCTGGGGTGCATGTGAAGAACATGCAAGATTGTTGCATAGGTACATACATAGCAATGTGGTTTGCTGCCTCCATCTCCATCACCTATGTCTGGCATTTCTCTCCATGTTATCCCTCCCCAACTCCCTACCCCACACTGTGCTTCCCTTAGTCCCCCCCAACAGACCTCAGTGTGTGATGCTCCCCTCCCTGTATCCATGTGTTTTCATTGTTTAACACCTGCCTATGAGTGAGAACATGCAGTGTTTGTTTTTCTGTTCTTGTTTCAGTTTGCTAAGAATGATAGTTTCCAGATTCATCCAAGTCCCTACAAAGGATACAAACTCATCATTTTTTATGGCTGCATAGTATTCCATGGTGTATATGTGCCACATTTTCCCTGTCCAGTCTATCATCGATGGGCATTTGGGTTGGTTCCAAGTCTTGCTATTGTAAACAGTGCTGCAGTGAACATATGTGTGCATGTGTCTTTACAACAGAACAGTTTATAATCCATTGGATATATAGCCAGTAATGGGATTGCTACATCAAATGGAATTTCTATTTCTAGGTCCTTGAGGAATCGCCACACTGTCTTTCACAATGGTTGAACTAATTTACACTCTCACCAACAGTGTGAAAGTGTTCCTATTTCTCCACATCCTCTCCAGTATCTGTTGTCTCCAAATTTTTTAACAATTGCCATTCTAACTAGCGTGAGATGGTATCTCAATATAGTTTTGATTTGCATTTCTCTAATGACCAGTGATGATGAGCATTTTTTCATATATTTGTTGGCCTCATGTATGTCTTCTTTTGAAAGTATCTGTTCATATCCTTTGCCTACTTTTGAATGGTTTTGTTTTTTCTTGTAAATCTGTTTTAGTTCTTTGTAAATTCTGATGTAAGTCCTTTGTCAGATGGGTAGATTGCAAAAATTT